TTGGGAATTGAAGTCCACCCATCTTAAAGGGCTGGCTGGGGAATTTTGGGAATTGAAGTCCACCCATCTTAAAGTTGCCCAGGTTGAGAAACTCTGCTGTAGTGAATTAGGGAGGCATCTCCTTCAGCTGCTTTCGAATGTTATCTCTATGCTCTGGACTTAATAAATGTTTCAGCCCCTTTTGCCTAAGTAACAGTTCCTGCCTATCTCAGTCAAGGTCATCTTCCTGACTCTACACCCAGAGTAAATTAAATTAAATTAAATTAAATTAAATTAAATTAAAGTTACTTAATCAAAATTACTTTGGTGCTTGGTTAAGCATTTATAAAATGATTGCGCTGTTCTTTATCTTTCCCCCGCCCCCATTCTACCGCATCCTATTACCTCTGATAGATTGATATACATACCTAAAGAAATAAAGGAGGTATCTGTAAGCTTCAATAAAAACGATTAAAAAAAGAACAGAAAGAAAGAAGGGAGAAAGCAGAAGACTTTCCATATTAGGTAAAGGTTTGCTGATGGCAGTAAAAGCAGGAGATCCTTTAGAGATCTCCATAAATGAATGGGTCATATTTTAGTTTGGAAGGAAAAAAAAGAAAAATAATAAAAAAGACCCTCGTGGAGATATGCGACACGGCTTCTTATGTTTCTATTCACGTTTGAAGGTGGGCCAATCGAGTTGTCAGATATGTATTCTTGAGTTTCTTTAAAAATATCACTGCTCGTGTTCTTCCTCTTGGACTCTTTCAGAGGGAAATTCCTGTTGTCTTCCCAAAATGTTCCCTCCTGCCGTTGAATGCTGATTCTTCAAGAAGAGATTCCGATTCTCCCTCCTTACTCCTGAATGAATTCGAATCAACCCATCCCAACGAAAAAGACAGAATGTTTTCCTTGGGTTTGCGCTGAGGACCGTGAGACAGAGACGCTCCCGCGCTGGAGTAAAGATGAGACAAAACGGCTGCCGCAGGAGGAGCAGCACCGCTGCCCCGGTGCCTCCGGTTCCAGGCCGGGCTCGAGCAGCCGGAGGTGATGAAAACGGGGATGCGAGAGCCGGTTGAGCCGGGCGCTCAGGATATTCAAGTGGTGCATGTTGGCGAGCCCCTGGGACGGGTCACGCCGATACGCATCAAGCAGGAACCGGAGGCAGGTTGGGAAGCTGAAGAGAAGGGAGAATTAAGGGTTGCTTGTTCTCAGTCAGGGGGGGAACATCTGTTGTTTACTGGGCCCTTTGCCAGCTTTGAGGGCATGACTGGGACTTGCAAATGGCTGGCAGGAGAGTCGGGAGTTTGGCCAGTCTCTGCCCTTGCGGTGGACGGGCACCAGCCTTCCCTCAGGTCAAACAACGCTGGAGTGAGGCAGGACTGTGGGAGGGGGACGACCGCTCTCCTTCGATGGGAAACAGATGGAGTGGAAACTCAGCAACGCTTCCCGGAGGCCAGGGGCTTGCGTGAAGTCTACTGTGAGCTCCGGGCTCTGTGCCACCGGTGGCTGAAACCAGAGAGACGCAGCAAGGAGCAGATTGTGGAGCTGGTGATCCTGGAGCAGTTCCTGGCCGTCTTGCCCCAAGAACTGCAGGGCTGGGTCCGAGAGTGGGACCCCGAATCCTGCGCGCACGTGATTGGGCTTGTGGAGGACTTCCTCCACAGGCAGCAAGAGGCAGAGCAACGGGAACAGCAGGTAACTAGATCTCATCCCGCAAAACTTGGGATCTCTGTGTGCAGAAGCAAGAGGGAATGGCCTTGAGGGACAGGAGGAAGAGACACTGCAAAGGCAATGATCAGATAAAACAAACCTGAGCCTGGGTCAGAACTGTTATGTGCACAAGTGTCTCAGAGAGGCACCCCCCTAGTTCTCATGAAGGTAAAGGGGGGAGGAACGTTCATGCTTGCAAGATTCTGTTAGTTAACTTTACAATAAAAGTGGTATCAATCCACATGACTTTGGTTTCCTAGTCCGGTCGTTAAGTAGTGGTGAAGGCACCAGGCTACAAACCAGGAGACGGTGAGTTCTAGTCCTGCCTTAGGCCAATCCCCCTCTCTCAGACCAACTCACCTCACAGGGTGGTGGTTGTGGGGAAAATAGGAGGAGGAAGGAGTATTAGGGATGTTCGCTGCCTTGAGTTATTTA